TTGCAAAATAAAAAAAACAGAAATATTTACAATCCTAAATTATTGAATCATAAACAATGATTTATTGGACACTTGAATCCAGAAATATCTGCAAAATATTTGAGGCAAAAAGGGAAAAACGACCTCTAATTACAAATTTCAAATTTTGAGTTACTTGTTATTTAAAATTCTGCACTAATTCTGAACATATTTGGACTACAATCGTTCTCATATCTTGAAAAATGGCCTCGTTATATTTATTTTCGGAAAATGGGTTTTTTTATATAAAACGCTTTGAAGTTTTTAAATATTGTCAACTTTTTATCTTACAGGAATAAAAAGTTAATCAATAATTAAAATAAAGTGTCCTAAAGCAGATAACATTATTTTGTTTTGTTAAATCTGTTTCCAACCCTGATCGATGTTTTGTCTCTCCTGCGATTTGAATTCTCGCGACAAGAGGTCCCTTTGCCCTTTTTCGCCTCACATATAAGAAACATTTTGTTGAAAAACCCTAACACGGATATGTTATGAACAATACAACATAGTTAATATTACATTGTACAAAACGAAGTACTTAGATTCTTAGTTTTTAAATTACAAAACTTAAACCCTCTTTTGTACTTATTTTCTTCTTTTTTTTTTTACAATAATTTCGTTTACCTTGTTGGTCATTTTCCGGTAGGATCTCTTAAGTATAGATTTTGAAATGAATATGAATACAAAAACGTGAAACCACGCGTGCTATAATATTGTCATAAGATTAAAAATACCATACAACTCTACAGGCCGTCGACGTTAAGAAATCAGTCTAAAAGGAGATGGCAGTTAAAACAAAGTTTCCGTAGTAGAAGGAATGATTTTTACGGTCTCCTGCATAACACCTTACGGCGACGCACCCGTCAAAATTGCCAACAGTTCATGTTTGCTAAAACAAAAGGCTGGCTGTAAAAAGTTTTTATTTGTACTCCGTTGCGCAAAAATAGCATGGAATGCGAAATGCTGTCGTCGAAAGTACACAACGAGATCCATCCGCTCAAGTGGTAAAAATCTCGTAAGTTTTCTTAAGAAACTACAGAGAGAAAAAAAACAACAACGTCATCAAACTTCTAATGTCAACGAGCATAAACACAAGGGCTGCGTTTTATTTTCTTAGGCGTGCCACCTTTCGGAAGTCTAATAGCCAAAATAGATTAACATTTATACATCACATACAATTGTTAAGACTTGAGTACGTACTCAGAAATTATAAGTTATAGCTAAACATATTATTGAAAATATATATTTAACGGCTATGCTTGTTGACGGATCTACTCGAATTTGCCAGACCTTCGTTACGCAATTGAGGCACTCTGCCGCCGTCGTATCCCGAGGGGTTATAAATTAAATCATTATCATCATCTAGTACACGTGTTTAGTGCATAAAGTTTGTAAACCTTGTATTTGTTTCCTTAATTAATACAATATTTATCATTGCATTTTATACAGCGTTATTGTTTACAAGAGGCGGCGACATAAGCCGACCAAGATTTCAAACTCACACCCACAACCCTTGTTCGTAGTTCGTACATTACAATAATGATGTTAACTGAATGTGTAATTATCAGTACAATATCAAACGTTTACCGATATTGGAATTGAAATAAAAATGTCATTGCACTTCGAATAAAAAGTTAAACATCAACACGCGCTTTCAAATCAGTCTGAAACATAGATTTTATGTAGAATCTAAGAATATCATATTAGAGAAATGGCAACTATAAAACATATGCTGCACTATATTTATAAATCAAAACCACTAAGGATAACATTTGAAGAATTAAATTTGTTTTTATTGTGAAAAAAATGATAATACCAACCAAATGCTTTATCTGTCACATGGTGAAGTTTTTAATGTATCTCTAAACATTTGTTAAGCTGTACTTTTATAAAATTATTAAAAAAATATAGCACTACAAATGTATCATCGGTTGAATTAGTACGAAACCAGTGAAATGTCATATTCTTAGACAAATTACTTGTACGAAACTCCTAAACATTAGAGGTAATGGTCCCTCCCAAACGCTAAGAATGGTTTTATTTTATTTGTGAGTAAGAATAATGCTACAGTATATTTGTTAAAATGCAACTGAAATCTAGGTCATAAAGAATATTATAAAGAAAGAACCAAGCATTCTCTAAACCAAGTACAGTATAGTTCAGTAGAGAAGAAGTTAAATAAATTAAGTCAAAGCATTGTTAAATTTAAAAATAATTTGATCACTATCAAACGCTTCGATGCGAATCTGTGCCAAAACAGTGAAACATAAGCAGTGAAAGAAAAAACAACTAGGTACTTAAGTTCAACAAAACATGTTTGGAGTAGATAAAAAAAGCGTACGATGAAAATGGCGTTTATTCAGAAACATATTTATCGGTTGGTTGAATACAAATTAAATTAACTAAAAAAAATGTCCAGGGCCCATGCAATATTTTTTCAATTAAGAAAAAACAATGACCCGTCAACTGTCTAAAACATAAAAGAAAAATTGAGGAGAAATAGCTTTTGAAATAAAAAAGTTGATAAAAGATTTAACATAACAGAATTAACAAACCATTTATTTATCTTTTTAACTTATAACTTAATCATTATTATTTAGTTTAATTTCAACGCATGATAATGAAGTTTATAGTACTAATAAATTATTTTATTCTACCTTAAAATATCAGATAATAATCGGCTTTCAGTAATGACTTAATAAGAAGTTATTTTACTTATTAGTAACACTACTATTAGTAAAAACTAAAAATAAACTTTACTGTTTTATCAATGAGAAAATCAACACAAAATGATCTTGAAATACACTTCTACATACACAACATAACTTACATTCATTGCGGTAATAAATAAAGATTTGAAGACAATTTCATTTTATACATTAAAAACCTTAACCGCTCAAATGATTAATCTTTCAAGTTCTATTAAGGATTTTCGATTTCTTAGTGTTTGCATAATTTATCTGCTGTTTTTACAATATTCACTTAGACACTGTATAATGAACCTTTTCGTGTTGTTGAACCTCAATCTATTTTATGTTAACTTTGCATCGAAACTAAAATTACTGTTTTGTTAATTTCCATAATAATTATTTCATAGATGTAAAAAAAAGCTATACAAATGGGCAAAACGTGGTGCTTATGTAATTTATTTTATTTTCAATATCTTTAAAGCATAATTTTGTTTTCCTCTAATTATAAAGATAATACACTTCGAGCATTTTCAATTAACCATAATTATTAATTGTAGTACACACCGTGTACTGATTTACAAACATTAACTGTTAATAATAAATTACTATTAAGGGACTGTTTGAACGTGTCGATAAATTACCATCGATTGCATGTAATGTGTTGTTCACTTTGATTTAAACCACACTGAAAGCTTTATTAATGCGTTGCAGCTGTTAGAATTGTATTAGTTAAGTAACGTGTATAGTTTATAGTGTATACTGTGTATATTATAGAAAGAATAAAATATTAAGAAGGAACTTTCATATTTAGGTACAAGTAATTTTTATTTAACACCCGTAAATATTATATTTTATTATTTTTCTATACAATCCAAAATGGTAGTATGAAAATGTTTAATTTAAATGTTTTTTAGATGCGTTCATTATAGATTTTTATATGTTGGTTTAAAAAAACATGGATCTGAAGTAAGTAACCAAGAGAAATACGCGCTTTTATTATATTAAATAGTAAATGTTAAAAGTAAATGTATACTAATATTAACTTGTTAACAGTGTATGGCGGGTTTAGTATATAAAATGTATCATGTATGCACAATTCGTAATATTTCCTTAGGACCGAAATTATTTAAGCTGTACGCCATAGACATTTCAACTAAAATGTAACAAATAATTTAACTAGGTGATTAATATTGAATTACGATACTTAAATAAAAGGCACAGCTGACAACTCCATTGACCTTTATAGATTGTAACAAAATTATACTATAGGTTATTCGAATAATGTTGTACTTCTATGAACGGTCGCCCGTCCAAAGCGGAAACCATCCTAATGGCGGATACATTTAAAGTCTCCGGAAGAAGCGGATACACGTGTAAAATAAAGGAAACAACCTTTTAATAATGTACACCTCTCAATAGCCGACATTTAATTGCGTCCGTTGTTAGAGAGGTTTTATTGGACCAAGACACATGTATATTTTTTTGTATTATAATATTGTTTAAACACAAAGGAGATTTGATTAATTTAACGGTTTATGAAAATCGATTGGCCCATTGGTTTTATATCTAAAGCACTGCTATAATATTAGACATTTCGTAAAATAGTAATTTATGCGATCGGCTTAGATTATTTTAGTTTCAATGCAAAAGTATTGGTTTTATAAAACCTACGGTAACTCTTTAACTACTCGATCGATTTCTTTATGTATTTTTATAGTCTTTGATTAGAAATCTAACACCGAAGACACCTTATGTAGTAACAATTTTTAAGTCGAAAAAAGTCCACCCCTTCAAAATCAAGAAAACACCCAAAAAATAATTGCCAATTTGATTGATGTCTTTAGACATTATACCAATGAGCAAACCCGAAAACATTTTTTTGCCATCTTTTTACCTCCAAAAGAGTTACAACATTTTCTTTATCTCTCTTTTTCAGACTTATGTTCTGACTATTAGACTTAAAGTATACAATATTATCTTGCGTGTAACTATTACATGTACAACGTTTTTTTCAAAAATCTGTAGTGCATAATTTGTTTTAATTATTGTCTATAAAGTACCGGTACTTAATATTGGCCATCAACACATTCACGTAATATATTTAAATTTAAGAGGTTTCCACCATCTGCATTTTGGGGCATCAAAGCGGTTTTGTCAGAGTGATTTTATCGCTTTCAGCTATTCCTGTGCCGTTCCCGCTGTGCCGGATTTTTATTTCACCACGTACTGTTGTAAAGAGGCCCAGACTCCCGATGCTAAAACAACGTTTTTAGAACCAATTTCGACACGTACCTTTTGTCGATCGCGGTAATCCACTCGGTGGCTGCCATGTTATCCTTACGGCGGTTTTGATTTTTTTTTGCAAAACGATTTTTTTTTTTTTAAATCACATACACACAAAATACACTCGGACGGAGACTCGTACGCCGGTAGACTCGCGACACTGTCCGGGTAATATAACTACGCGAAAACGGCGAATTTCCCGAAAACGCTTTTCATGAAAACTCTGCCGGCGGTTGAAAAGTCATCGCGGCCAAATGGCACTATTCCGGCGGCGTCTACTTGTTGAACGGACGCGACACACGTGCGACTGCGAACCGCCGGCTCGATCGGTCTGTGCCGTGTCCACGTCAAATGAGCGCTCGGGGCGGCGGACCACAGTGTGCCACATCCTTCGCCTGTACCGCCGCCGCCGCCGCCGCCAGGACACAAGCAAACGGGCCGCGATATCTGGCGGACGTCCCGTAATGTTTCACCGTGTATGCGCTTGTATTGCCGATCGCACAATTGTGCACAACATCAAACCTTTTGGACCGACGACGCTTGTAGACGAGTCACTCGAGTGCTCGGCATGATCGAGGACATGAAATCGTTTAAACGAATCAATTGAAATCGCAGTATATATAAGTACTTAACGTAGCGGCAGAAGATGGCGAACAATTATTCATCTCAAATGTAAATAAATACGCATAATTCGTGTATAATATTTAGTATAATTAGATGTGGGCATTGATGACTGTATCAATGGATACAGTGACACAGCTAGTGGGTAAGTTGGAGAAGTGAAAGTTTGAGGATCACAAAAGGCAAGTGGTCGTCCAGGGTACAAGCAATAAAAATTAGCAAACATTCTGTAACACTATTATCAACGCCGTATTCTTATATAGGGTATTGAGTATTCCACGTCAAATCGTACCCCACTTGACTTTTGCATTGCGAATTTTTTTTTATGCTCTAGACTGATTTTTCAATATTTATCTCGACCCGTTCTTGAGCTATGGACTTTTGAAAAATATATGTTATTTTTTATGGATCTTTCAACCAAATCGCATGATAGACCTTTTTAAGTCAGACTAACACCGATAACAATTAATTTAAACAACGCAGCAGGGGATCTAGTCAAAGTTTAAATTTTCCAGACGGTATTATCCGGTTATCAACTGTTATTTAAGTCGTTTTATACTATGTTTCTAAAAGATCTCTTACTAAGTGAAAACCAACTTTAATATATATTTTTATTTTAAATTTGAAAGTGGTTTTTTACACTAAATTTCATATTTGGTAAAAATAACGAAAATTTTAGTTTTTCGAGTCATAGGCTGTTTAAAAGAACTTTTTTTGAAAATATGTTCAAAATATTTCACCAAATTTCGATTTAGTAATTAGATTAGTATGTGTGGAAATAAAATTATATGTAAATTGGTACATTATTATTATTTTTCATTCATTCATTCATTTATTTAATATGATAGAGTCTATCAGTACGGGCGCGTGACGGAGTGAGATAAGGCAGCAGTGTATGTTCCTCCGGGCGGGCACTGTTTGGGGGAAGAAATAGCCACCTGCATCTCTCTCTCTGGGGCCAAATTGTTTGATAGCGTTAGGTCGGCAGCCAGCTATAAGCCCAAAAATGCCAAATCTAAACCGTCGAAGCCCCGATCGGTGGGAATAACGGACGTTAAACGTAAGAGAGACAGATAGAGAGATGATTGAGTCTATCAAATATACGATCGAAAGCAAAAGGTTTTATCGAGGAAACTCCGTAGCAGAATTAAATGGTAAAGTTTTTAACGAGACAAGAAGAGAATGAAAGATAAAAATAACGGAAATAGTAGAAGTCACATTTATTGTATTGATATTTGGTTAAGTCGACATATTAACGTTAAAATCGTCGTTAATTTTTAATAAAATCATTTAAATAACAATCAATGTTTGTGTTCCATGAAACAAATGTCTGAACAGCAAAAACCAGTTCTAAACAGAAATCTAAACAACAAACAAAGAACAGATACTACCGAATAATTGTTAGTTTTAAAGGTGGTACAGTTTACAGATAATGGAGTCGTTTTAAAATATCTGAGACAACATTTGACCGAAGAGAAACGAAAAAAGTAAATTACTTATTTTTTTTAATTAGAAAGCGCCAGTTTACGGTAGAAACAAGTAAACAGAACTAATAACTTTATAATTACTATTTTTATTCCGAACTAACTCCAATTTCCTTCCATTACTTTAGACATTAACATTTTGTCCTCTCGAAATTATCAAAAACAAATATGGCACAAGTAAACTTATAATAAACAATTTTCAAACTGTGTTAACTAATAAAACATAGCCGCTAGGTTTGGCAAGGATGCATCTATATAATTCGTCATTAATCATCCTTTATTCTTGCGGTTAGCAATCTAATATCCCATTCCTAGTTATTGTCGAACAACTTAAACTACCAAATATTTTTTTCGTTAACCTACCTACAAAATGCATCGTTTAGTGATAATGTAATTATAATTTTAATTTTTTTTTTTCCTTTAGTCCAGTGTAACGGATTTTGGAGGTTAGAATATACCGTTATAACGTTCAAATGAACGTATAGTTGTTGAACAAATGTTTATATTATGTTACATTCGGTTCATTATTACCTAGTGAACTGGACGTTTTTATTTTAACCCTTCATATTCGTAACGTTACGGAACCCTGTAATTAAATAATTAAAGCCAAACAAAGAATATATAGTACAAGGAATTTATGATTTTTTATAGACTTCATAATATCACCGAATGCGCTGTACGAAACAAAACTTGTTATTTTTAGAACGCCTTGCAGTTTGTGTGCACTTTGTTCTTCTTGTTTTATTCAATTACTAGATCGCGAATTCAGTAAAACTATTCAAATCTCCAAAAACTATACGAAGTTACACACTTATGTTAATACTACGAAATTCGTGGTGTACTAAAAACTACTAAATTTAGTCTTGACGATAAAACTTTCTGAAATTGCAACAATCTCTTACAGACATTTTATTATCTTTTTGCCAAAATGATCAAATTCTCTATTATCTTTTATTCTATATTGAGTTACTTCGACAAATCCTCTAGAACTGTTAAATCAAAGTGGTTGGAAATCTAAGTTCTCAAAAAGAACTATTATTATATTCATGTTTTCCAATTTGACGAAATCGGCACATGAGCAAAATATATCTATTAGTAACTGTGGTTTAAATCGAATATTAAATAAGTACATTAAGTTTCAATATAAATTCAAATAACCCATTATATAAAATAATTTATAATGTTTTGATACTAGTATCATAGCATGCAATAAGATACATGCAATACAATTTATTTATTTACGTTTTTATTATTGTTTTCGTAGAATATTAAAAAAACATTTTAAATAAAAGTAATATTTAAAAAAAGGATGCAGTGATGTATCAAAATTGCATAACCTTAGTGCCGTGTTATACGTATTTGTTGATCCTTCGTTTTCAATTCTAAAAACTTAACGATTTTAAAAACACATTTTTTTCAAAATTAATTATATTTATACAAACGTTAAATTATCTGTCTGATTTTTTATTTATTTTGTCTATTAGGTCTGTGCAATTTTAGAATACAGCATAAAAAATATTTGTATTTTAGAAATATAGGAAACATGGTAACTAAACATTTTAAGATTCACGATATTTTTTATTAAAATGTTAAATACATACTATGTTAATATATTATTATACAAGAGGCTATGTGTTTTTTTTAATAAAAAAAAACTTACTTATACGAAGGGTTATAGATTGAAAAGTTTGAATTTTATAAATATTTGATTTTTTGGCTGCTCCCCATAATTGAATGCCGTATGTCCAGATAGTCATCAATAGGGTTTTATAAAGGAGTAGTTTGTTTTTTATACTGAGTTTGGAATGTTTACCTAGCAAGAAGTAAAGAGATTTCCGCCTCGAGTTGAGAAGGATTCGTTTACTTTTTGTATGGTTTGCCCAGGTTAAGCGTTGGTCTAAATATTAAACCTAAGTAGTGAGAGCTAGTGGATTTCGGGATATTATGAGACTATTTAAGGTGACGGGCGATACTATAGTACGCCTTACGGTGAAAGTCAAATGTGAAGATTTCTCATTATTCATTTTTATTTTCCATTTAGTGTACCAGGATTACATGAGGTCTAAATGATTTTGTAGGTTATTACTGGCAGATATTGGGTTCTTGTGTGAGGAATAGATTATTTTGTCGTCAGCGAAATCCGCAATGGAAGTGTGATGGGTCGTCGGTTGATCTGCCGAGTATAGATTTAACAGAATTGGAGAGAAAATGGCACCTTGGAGGACTCCTGCTGCTATTGGGGCTAAAGTCGAGATTTCGGCCCCTAATTTTATTGTAAAGTAACCGTTTTCGTGGTAAGCATCCTATTAAGCTATTAACTAACGATATTACTATTTCAAATCTCCAGTAGTCAAACAACTTTCCTTATTAAGTTTAAATCAAAATTAAGTCACGAAAATTACCATAACACTGTTAGTTTCGAATCATCACTCAAACAGAAAGTTTTTAAAAGAGTGTTTTAAATAACTAATTACAACGGTGATTCGTTTCACATTTGTTTAGTTTATCCGATTAAACGCAGAACACATAATACAAACATCGCACATAATCGTACTTACATCTGTTTTAAATCCTGTTGGTTTGGTTTCGTTGGTGGCAGTTTTTTTACAGTTTTTTTATTTCTCAAACACTTTATAATGAGTTTTGTCACTGCCAACTAAATTACAAAAGTTCCAAAAACTCATGCGCAAGTCTCCAAAACTAAAGTTTTTGAAGTCGACTGTCAACAAAATTATTATTATGATAATAACATAATATACTGGATTGTTGCTGTGCCTTATGACAGGTAATGGCATTTACTAGCGTAGCTAATTTAGTTTAGCCGGCTCTAAAATAAAGAAATTGTCCAAAAAAACTATTATAACAATTTTACTAATAGTATTCCATGTATTATTTACGTATACGTATTTATTTAAAAGCAAAACAATAAGTAGCACATTTTTATAAAGCTTGACGAATATACGAGTATATCATTTAAAATGTTAAAATGATAAAAATATTGAAACAACATCACATAAATTCCCTATCAACTAAACTTTATTATTCTAGAACAATAAATTATATTTGTTCTAACAAGCATAAGAAGTGACAAAGTTTAAATTTTAATATTTTACATAAAAATAAATTTAACTTTAAAAAAAACATATTTTTCATCATACTGGTATACATAATACTTTTTTTTAAGTAAAACATTTAATAATAATAATAGTAAGTTATACATTTTGGATAGAATATTTTCCAGTCCATTGATTTAAAATTTAAAGTTTCTCAAGGTATTTTGAAAAGTCTCAAAAAATATGTATTATGCAGTTGCGTTTAATTTTATTTTAACTTCGATTATTTTATTTTTATCTGGACCCACAATATCTTCTAAAGCGATTTCTTCATGTAGCAACTCAATATATCAGAAATCGTATCTAAAAGGTACGTTTTTAAACCTAAAATTTTAAATATCAACCCCCTTCCCTTCAAAATCGAGAAAAGCATCCAAAAATGTTACATATTTTTAAACTTCTAAATACGGCGGTCTAAACATTTTTTAAAACTAGTCGAATAAGTTATGAATTTATGTAAGTTATTTCTTAGAGATACCTATTCTTATCAATAACGTGGACAAACTAGATACATTAAAAAAATATATCCCCCAGAAAGAGATGTGATAAATATTGTTTTATTTGTTGCTATGCGAGAGTGAATTAACACGTGAACATGAAGGTAGATTATCTAAAAAATATTTTGATCATGTTATTAATTACCTACGATATATGGGCAACAACGACAACAAATGATTATAAACAGAATACCAACTATAATCGTATTCTCCTTACCTAATACTAACAATTTTGGGCACATTATATCTTATAATGCTTTTCTCTATAAAGCTCTTTACAATAGAGTTTTGTAATTAAACCATAGACGTAATAGAATTAATATTATTATGTCTATACTTCTATTCTTTTTAAAGTGATTTTATCACTTTCAGCTATAATTTCTATAGACCTGTGACCTCCCGCGTACCCACTAAGTTCCAACCCCACTATACTACTGGGCTTCTTAACATTATATTTTGTTTTAGGTTATTTGCCGGGCCCGGCTGATAACGCTTATCAAAAAGAAACAATCACAATATTTGTATCTCGTTATGACAGAAATAAACAAAATATATTATTATATATTTTGTCGTTTTACTAATGTACATGACTAAAAAACTAAAAAGTTACTTTATAGTTACATTTTGTAAATATTAGTTACAATATATTGAATAAACTCGTTTTCACTAAAAATAAAGCTAATTTGATATAATTTTGTTTATGGTTTAGTTATTACGTTTTTCTATTCTACACTATGAGCCTAATATCGCAGTTGCATCCTCACAACCATAAAACTACATTCGTTGTAGACCACACTCCTTACTTCGGTCTCGCCAGCAATGCACACGTCAAAATGGATTTCACTAAACGTCCACCGGGTGCTATACCGCCTTCTCCGGTTTTCAAATCAATGTGGACGTGTAGTATTGAAGCAGTACTAGAATATTGCCGTATTGTTTGGGATCTCTTTCCAGAAGGTAAACTCATACGTGTTATCAGCAGTGATATGCAAGCACGTAACCTCAATACTTGGGCAACTACTCATCAAAATGTTAATTATATGCTTCACCATTTATCGGCACTTGGTCCGCCCGCTAAACTTTCACCAAATCCTTCACGGGACTACAGCATAGTCTATGGATTTCGTTCGGCAGCCGAAGCCATGTCTGAATGTACACCCGCACAATTAGAACAAATGTCTAAGAAAAATTGTTCGGAATTGTTAAACAAGTAAATTGTTTTATTTTATCACATTTATCTCATCTTCTATAAAATATTAAACTACCCGTCATATGTTTTTTGTTTAGGTGTAGAACTGTTATTATAACATCAGCTAGAGACAATCCATCGATTGATAATCTTACGTCTATGTTCCACAACGATTTAATTAAAATCAACAAATATAGTGGAACACAGACAGGTACGCTAATCGTGAATTCCTGCGAATTAGTCATTATCAACACGTATCCTGACTCAATCACGTGTGAAGTCACCGATCGCCAGTTGTATTCAATATCTCCTATTTTAGATTTAGAAGTGCACTGTATTCCAGCATCCAAGATTGGAGCCAAAGTGTCGCATCTTTTATTAAAACATTACGCTTTAGCTAGTACAACAGTCACTGGCATCCCGATGAAAGAAGAACAAAACGCTAGTTCTTCTGCAAATTATGATGTAGAAATATACCATTCGGTTACTGCACATACTCCTATTTTAAATGTACATGTTGCTGACGTACAAGCTGTAGTAGCAAAAAAGGAGGGAGCATATTATGAAACTGTTAAGCTAAAGTGGTGCACACCCAGAGCAAATAATAATTTGCCCGATATCCATAGTTGTACGACCCTAAGTAGGATCACGCCAGTCGATATAAATAGTCGTCCGAGTGCATGTTTGATTACATTTTTACTTAACGGTCGTTCGGTTTTACTTGAAATGATTAAACAAAGTGGTAATAAAAGTATGTCGCATGTTCTTAAATCGTACAATGGAGAAATATTTATACATACAGTATCGGCTGGACGTACCGTATTAGAAGACCCACCAGCTATTAGTGAGGGTCCGGGAGGCAAAGTCACTCAATACAGAGTAGCTGATTTTGGTATGTTCATGAAATCAAATTTACTACAACCGATCAAACGAAAACCATCTGACAATGAAAATTATACGGAAAAAGCAAAAGAAAAACTTAGGAAACAGACATCGTATTGGCCACTTACAACGTCTTCAACTATAATTTTTAATTTAAAACATTATACGGAACCTTTATTGTTTTTGATGGGCAAGGAGACCATCAATGATCAAGAAGTCATCCACTGCAAACAATGTATTTACACTTTAATGACAGCTGAATCCAAAAATGAACCACTCGTTACACCTAATTTGTCTAATCCTCGAAAAACATTAAAAAAAGATGATCAGTACAAACCATTATGGTCAGAATTGGAAACATTTTTAAAATCAAATCTTCACTCAGAAAATCATTGTAAAGTATTACAATGTTTATTTGAATGTCGGGGTAAGACTGATGAAGAGAAAATACTCGAAAAATCTTTAATGCGTTTCAAACAATTTGCATCGGAAAGACCTAGTGTTATAAGAGCAACTACTGATTCGCCAATGTCTCCTCCTTTAACCCAACAAACCGGAGTAAAACATGTAGCGCTCAACGATGCCAATACAAACCCTAATAGTGTCATGTATCTTCAGATCGTTCAGGAACATGATAATCATAAACCAAATCCACCGTCTAGACCACAATTTGCAGGAAGACTAAAATCTGTCCAATTGAGAAGTGGCAATTTGTTTACTAAACTATACCAACACTTAGACGAAAACGGAGAGAGAGTACAAAAGTAAAAGGTGAAATCTAAATAATTTTCTAACTAACGTATTTTTTGTATGTATTATAATAATGATTTATTTGTATCAAACATTTTAATTAAAAAAAATTGATTTTCTTTTTAAAATAAAAGTATTAAATTTTTGTTATAAAAGATTATATTTTAAAATCTAATATAAAAACATTTCCTAAATGTGCAGAATAATGTTTTCTAAAATTGTTAGTTTCGTAGCTAAGCTAATAAGGGAATTTGATTTTATCTATTGAAGATCTTACCAATGGCGGAAGCATCAAAGAAGCCATTGAGACGATATTTTCCCACTATTATTATTTTTTTAAATATGTAATAAAATATATTAGCATATTTTAATTTTTTTATGTATTTAATGATTAGTTGCAGTATAACTATTTCTATATTTTCAGTTATAATTTGCAAAATTTTGATATATCTTTTTAAATTGGTTTTTATCAAAAATTATTAAAACTAAGAATGACTCATAGACAAATGAAGGGCACAGGTAAATAAGGGTAGTTGTCAATTTTTTTCAATTTCTAGATAATTTCTCAAATCAATGGTACATTGAAAGAGAGGTTATAGTGGGGCCAACTTAGCGCTTTAAAAACGGTTGATATCTAGATTTGTACACATAAACTAACTTTGTTTTTGCTCTCCTGAAAAATTGCGATAATTGGACTACTACCCTTCTTCCCCTGTGCCCTTCAAATGTAATGCATGTACTTGAAATACATTTACAAAGTATTTGAAAATAAAAACACATTTCTGAAAATTATCATATTAGTAAGTTGTCATTTGTGGTTTTATTGCGAAAATCTCTTAAAAAATTGTTAATTAAAAAATAATAGTACAAACAAACGTTACCAATTTGTGTGTCATCATACATAAAATATCTCCTAAATCTATTTATGTCAGTGTTTGAATTTAGGAGGGGGGGAGAAATTATAGCATGCCCCTACTTATTTGTAAGTGATGGTTATTTAGGGGCAAAAACGTTCCCCTACTTTTATTTTAAACAACGCTTTCTAGTTCTCAAGCCAAATAATGTATTTTCAGTCTTGTGTAGTGCCTAACGTAACAAAAGTAGCGTTACAAATTTTTATTTAATTCTGTAATAGAAAAATATATGTATTGACTACTTTTTATAAATAATTTGACGATATATTAACGTCTCTGTAAAAAAATCGTAGTACAACAAGTTTAGTGTTTTCTAATTTCTATGTACCTAGTAGGTACATCTGACGAGATACGTCGTATTGCATGTAAATCTAAAATCACATAATTCGAATAAATATTAAATTATGATTTGTGACTACATATATTGTAGCCTGTAGGTGTAATATAAAATTATTGACCACGAACCAATCCCACCGCATACACTAATCACTGTACAGGTCAAATCATGTTATCACTTATCGTATCGAAATGGTACGATGTAGTTTTGATAAGCCGAGTTGTAGCACAAAAAAAAACTCTAGGTAATGTCGATAATTCTGTCGGATAAATCCAATTGACGCATTTTTTGAACGAACACATCGAATTGGCCAATGTTCAGCAGTGACGTAGCTTTGGCCCGTATTTCATTTACGTTTTACACGTGTATAGCTTATGATCTAACAGTATTTTGTGAATCACAAAAATATCAGCGTACCGCGTCCTGTTGGACAGTGTACTGTTAAAGAAAAATTGGAGTTTTTGGAAAATCGCATCATGTAAGTTCGTTGTAAGAAACAACAGTGATTTTTCATAGGCTTTTAGTTATAATTAAAAAACAATCATAGAAATATGGATACGATGGACAACTACGACATGCCCGGAGATTTTGACATTGCTGGTCTCGACGGTTAGTAGCTACATATAAAATGTTGTATAAAATACTGTTTGTTGTTGGTCTGTAAAAAATTGAATGTCGTTTCAATATAATTTTAGATCTTTTACAAGACTATAATGTGGATATGCCTGAAGTGAATACCAAATTGTTTACGGACGACAACATATTATCCGAGTTTGACGATCAAATGGATTTGTCTCTACCGATGGGAGATTTTCCTTCGCTTACCTTGCCTGCAACTGATCAACACTATCAGTTATCTCCACCACAAGTGACAGCTTCGCCAATAACGAATAACCAAACAATACCTACAGTTGGGATTAAACAATGTCCAAAGATAGTACAGATAAACAAGCCTAATCGCAAATTAACTGAAAAACCAATTCAACCAAATTACCAGGTTATTGAACCAAATGGTACTACAAAGATTCAATACATACATAAAGCCGGAACAAACACTTTTGTACCGGTTCAAAGCGTGAACCAAATTCACTTGCCTGCAGATCAAATGAAACAAGTTAGTAAGACAAGTAATAATTATTATTACCATTTGTAAAAAATTGTAGTGTAAAACTAAAAGTACAAACTTTTAAAAATTGTGTATAGGTATTCATAAATGCACCACTGAATACGCAGCCCACAGTGATGTATACATCAACAACCGCTCAAGGCCAGCCTATAATTTTAAACAATGCAGCATTTGTTACGACAAGTAAAACATTATTTTATTATTCTTAATAAAGACAACAAACAACTATTTATATATTTTAGGTATACCCGTTATGAATATGATTGATTCAGAAAATATTTCAATTAACGGTAATAGCGAAAAGGGTTTCTTTAAAGACGGTAAGCCAAGAAGTTCACATAATGTTATTGAAAGAAGATATCGAACAAGTATAAATGACAAAATTATGGAGTTGAAAAACATGATTCTCGGACCAGAAGCTAAAGTAATAATAAAATCATCTATATTTAAATACATCTAATGCTCATTACAAAACGTTTCACTCTTTGCCTTGAAAAAGTATTACGTTAGGCTCCGTGTAGGTTATAAATGGGTGAAAAGTATTATTTTACATAGCAAAAATGAAAGATTAAATATGTTTGTCATTACAGAGGCCTCAAATATACTACTCTTCGTGACAAAGAAACAAAACACACTACTTTTGATATGAAAAATTAAACATTACTTTTCGTAATGGGCGTTGTAATGTAACTACAATTAGCTACCAATAGTTTGTTAAATTAAAATCTCATATATTTTTTTAGCTTAACAAGTCAGCAATACTCAAAAAATCTATAGATTATATTAAGTATCTGGAAATGGCGAACAAAAGATTAAAAGATGAAAACCGATTATTGAAATTAGCGGTTTCCAAAAGTCAGCCTGTAGTTCATAGTCCTTGTTCTACTATTTCACATGAAGAATACAATATTCCTGGTTCGTTGACTCCTCCGCAATCTTATGTGTCTGTTTCATCTCCAGAAAGATCAGACGGTGCCTCTTCGCCTCCAACGTCGCCCGAAATTGTTATGAATACTCATCAAAACTTGGTAAAAACAATTAGCAGTTTTGATAATACATAATTATTATTTTTCAAATAAAAATAATTTATATTGTACATATAAATAGAAAAAAGGCATGACTGACCATTCGAGGTTAGCCCTTTGTGTCTTCATGTTTGCAGTTATCGCTTTTAATCCATTTGGAAATCTATGGTCTAACAATATGCCAAATGTTCAGACATCGTGGGCTGATAAAATAGATGGAAGAACTATATTAAATGCTAAAATGGGTATGTAATAGACTTTTTTTTAAGCTAAAATAGTTAAACAATTATTTGTTTTAAGATTCTAAACCAGACATGGGTCAAAATTACATGTTAACAATTGCTATTTGGGCATTAAATATCCTTGGTACGGTTATATGCTTAATTTTTCTACTTAACAACGATCCAGTTGTATATTCAGACTCGGAAATATACAGAGATTATATACAAAGACGAAAACTTGCAGAGAACTATTTAAGTAAAGTGAGCTAACAACTGATGTTTCTGTCTTTAATAAACAATTAGTTAATATATTTTTTTAGTTGGTAAAAATAAGTGACATAATTAATTTGAATAAAATAAATATTTTTTAGGGCAATAGAAAATTGGCCGTGCATGAACTCATAAAATGTTTAGATATTTTTGGTCGACCTTTATGGACAAGTCGAAAAAAACTCTGGGCATCTCTAGTATGGCAAATTATTAGACAATTTTTACACCAATTCAAAGGAGTTCTGCTGTTGAAAAAATTTAATACTTCAATATTTGGAAACTCGTAAGATATTTTAACCTAATTTTTCGCTAAGAGATGTTTGATAACATATTTTTTTTTCTTTATAGAAACAAGAAACATGATATGCTAAATACAGCCAAACAACTAAGTGAAGTCTATCATTTACTGCACAATTTGTATTTAATTGGTGGGCTCGATTATCAAATACCCAATATTCATTTGGGTACTGGACTGTACTTGGGCCTTTGCTCGATTAATATGGCTGAAGCTGCCGGACGGCAAGTGGTGTCGGCTGAAACTCGTGTGCGTTTGTACTCTACAATGGCTTTGAATTTTAAAACAATAACGTTTAAAGGCGCTGGATTTTTTACGAGGTACACAACCATAATATTATAAAATCAGTGATATAGTCGTAAAAGTATACATTGTGAGTACCTGCTTACCACTTATCTATGTACAAGTTTAATCGTAACAAAAACAGTGTACTCTGTACGTGGGTAAATGCACACATTGTAAAGTAGGTGATGAGTAGGTGGAAAGATCATAATTTACTCTATGGCTATATCAATATCACAGTATAAAGGACTAAAAACAACTATGTATATTGTCATGCATTTTTTTTTAGATATTATTTACATAAAGGCCAAAACCAAGAAGTAAACTATAACAGATTGCCAGCAAATTTAAACTGGCTTACAACAGACTATGGATCAAGGTTTTTTTTCGATCATACTTGGAAATTTACTCCGAACGCAGCCGAATCATCTTTTACAACTCTATCAGATTTAAATGATCCTTTGGCATATGTCACTAGAGTAAGTTGGTTGTTTTTTTTTTGTTTTCTCAAACGATTGTGGAATTTAATTCTGTTTTACATTTATTAGACTTTTAGAGATAAAACATTGGAAAAGGCGTTACAAACATTAATATCACCGGGTACTCGACATATTGTTCAAGCTGAGGGTCACACTAAACAGCCAACAGTTACTTCTGACGTTCTTGTTTATGTTCAAAGAATTGTAGAGTCCAATTTCATTACAGTCAAACCCAGAGTAATTGGAAGTTCGGAAATAAATGGTATTTACCTGTTTAAATAAACATATATAAACAAAAAGTTTTGATTCACAAGAAAAATTATGTTGAAAAATATTAGTGGTTGAAGACGAGAAGGCGGCATGGTGGGCTACGTTGTTTGCGGCTGGAACATATTGGATTTTAGGTGAAGACAACCGTACAGAGTTGCTTGATAAACATATTTCCACTGTTCCCCAAAGCTTGTTGGTCGATCCTCTAGCTCAAGCTACTCTTGCTGCCTACAAGTATATACTTTAAAATTTCATCAAAATATTTATATTAATAATGTGATAATTTTAGATGTCGAAGCAAAGTCCAAACAACCAAGCCTAGAATTTTGGAGCACCACTGCCAAGAGGCCAGTAAAATGCTATCGGAGACATTGATCTTACTACAAACTAATAAACCGCCAGCTAGTGTTATTGTAAGATATTATATTCAATGCGTAGTGGTGTAGTGGTACACGACTACACCACTGATATTTAATAATCTAAAAGTGCTGACTATTTATTAATTAATGACCAATTATTTGTATAATTACGTTAAATAGATGACTCTACTGTTGGCGAGTGACTGGTTGTTGGAAACGAGAATGTTATCATGGCAAGAAGAATGCAAGAAAATGCCAGCGGGCTTTGTAAATGTGGACTTTATGAACTTAAAGAGTTTTCAAGAAGATTTGACATCGTTGAGAAAAATTGCACAATTTGTTAGAGTATGTTTAAGTGTTTTTTCTGCTTTTATAATATGACAGATTTATAATATTGTATGTTTCTCCTAAGTTTGCCACAGCCAAAGTTTTCTTGTACGAGGCAACAGCTCGTTTAATGGCAGGCGCATCACCCACGAAAACACAACAATTATTTGACCGAAGTCTTAGGCACAGATCAACGCGACATTTCATGATTTGTACAAAAAGTATATAGAAAATCATACAAAAATACCATCCATCATTAATTCTGAAGTAATTATTTTTATTAACAGGTAAAGGCGAAAAACGTCCAATCGGTTTAAGAGAACACGCAACGGCACTTTTCATGGCGTGTAAACATTTGCCCATGTCTCTATTGTCGCCACCAGGTATCCGAGCCGGTATGTTAGCTGAGGCAGCACGAACATTAGAAAAAATTGGTGACCGCAAAAATCTTTTGCAGTGTTACAAGTTATTAAAATCCATTACGACCAACTCGTCTGTAACCGACTGACTCCTGTTTCTAAATTTGTTAATAAAATGATTTGTATTTTTTTTAAATGTTAAGTTACCACATGATGTCAAAATAACATTCATATTATTATGTATTTATATTGTTTATTTTAAAATTAGTCCGACTATACCCTATTATGTTTATCTACTTTTTTATCTAAGACAAATACATTATAAGTATTTTATACATTTAAATAAATATTCAAAATAGCCATTCTAAAGGTTTTACTAGACATTTTCAATGGTCAGTAAAAAGTTTAAAATACTTTGGGATTTTAGTAATTAAATGTTTTGCCCAGAGATACAATAAAAATAATACTTTGTTGCCACGTTCAACTTTTTTATTTACCAGTTTTTAAGAAAATACATAATCAGAATTTTCTAACAGCCTTGTCGGATATTTTTACCAATTAATAATTTTAAACCAATTTTTATCCTTTATTTATCAACATTATCTAAACGTATGTAACAAATAGTAAGAGAATTTCCATTTTGGTCAGTCATAAATCAATTATTACGAGGGAAACTTCTTTTTTTCTTTTAAATAAATATATCTTTTTTTAACTGTTTGTTTTGGAAATACTCAATATGTGGACAGTGCACATTGTTTATATATTATAAATGGCTGAAAATTACATAATAGTATGACTTAAATTTACTACATGTTCAAACATCAATTTTAAGTAGTTTTTTTTTTAGATTTAAAGGAAATAAAGAGCAACAACTCAACAGTTGTCATAGTATGACAAATATATTTAATTACAATAATTAATTATTTAATGTGTTTTTTTAAAACTTTTATAAATAAAATTAAAACTATATAGTATATACAATAGATTTTAAAGATGTCAGGTTTTTGAAATAATAAATATAATAAAATAATTTCCATCATAGTCTATATAAATATTATATATGGTACAAATTTTTTTTTTTTTTTTGGTTTTTTTTTAACTGTTATTAAAACTATTTTTTACGCTGTTATTACCAAAAACCCCAAAAAAAAATTAGTATTATTGTAAACTAGTTAAATATAATTTAAAATAAAGATCGGTGAGTGCTATGCTTTATGGCCGGAATGGTGTGATTTTGGTTGTGGGTTGTTCATAACCACCATCGTGCTCGGCTTGACTAAAAGATGGCCATTGGACAACTGTGGAATTGGTTGGTTTGGAATTGTCACCGCCTAAAAATAAAAAAAACTAATTAAAATCTGCATTCGTTTTTTATTTTCAAATAATTACCTTAGAAGAAGCTGTAGATAGTACTAGATGAGCCGGAGAAGTGTTAGCGTGGTGTGTTAGAAGTAGTGGCCGAGTTATAACATGATTTGGAGTCGCCTGCCCTCTATTCACAACTGTAAGCAGTAAAACAAAAACAATTATTATACACCTCATAATTAATTAATAGATAAAAAATATTTTTATATTTACCTGAAGCTTGGGTTGCTAATATATTGTTCTGCAACAGTCTGATTGGAGCAGACGCTGTGTTGTTGGAATGATCAATCATACTTGGGCTAATCTTAATGCCTGAAAAACGATTTTAAAAAAAATTACAATTATAACTCAGTTGTATATTGGTGGTTTTTATGAGATTTTGGGTATTGATAAATCCTTGTGACACTTGACTGTATAATATACAATTGATGTTTCCATTTTATATTTCATAACAATTATATCCCTATGAAATATAGAAATAGAAAAAATATTGGGAGAAGTCAAATAGATTGTGAAAAGGAATCGAAAATAGCATTCCGTGTTACAAACACCACTCCATGTTAAACCAGTGAATCTTTTAAAAGAATACATTTAATTTTTGGAAGAACATGAAGTGAACTATTCATTTAGGGAATTAAATACCGATTATTCCCTTCTTTGTCTATCTCACGCACAACATAGGAATTTAGACGCATATTTTGTCCATCGTAACAATCTACCTAGAGTTGCGACAAGGAATCTGAACACAGAATTGAATTTGTCATAACATTTACTTAATATCCTACAGAGTACTGTTTTGATATATTTTTCCTACTACGAATAAGAAACGTTAAAATATCATATAAAAATTCAAATTTTAACAACAAAATTTGGAAAAGGTAAAAATTCAAAATTAGAATAAAATACTTTGTAGGATTTTGAGTTAACTTCATGACAAATTCAAATATGTTTTCAGATTTTTTATTGCATTACTACGTAGATCAGTACAATACACAAAATATACGTCTATATATTATTTTGTAACACGTGAGAGATCGAAAGAGACAGGAGTAATTGATATCCAATCCTTTAAACATTCAACATATAATTCTTTAATGAAATTATTAAATGTTTTTATTTTGTTTTAAATTAAAATATGATTAATGGTTGTTTCAATAAATTGAAATTTCAAATGAAGTTAAGAATATATATTGTGTAAGCATTTGAACAATATAATATATTTTTTTAACAAAATAAGTATAAGTATGTCAGCAAGCAATCATATTGAATCAATATTAATGATAAAAATTAATGACCAAATAACTGTCTTTTTTCGAGCATTTTTTTGTATTAAAGCAACAGCCATATTGTGAACATTATCAAATGATAGGAAAATTTGCTACGATACTTTTCTTAGTAGTAGTACTTTACTTTAGTTTGATTATTTTAGTCCTGAAGGTTATTTAAAAAAAATATATTTTTGATTCATTTTATACTGCTTATTTATTGAGTAGTGTGGCTTACTAAGTTTGAAAGGTAATTTTTACTAACCTGAAATAGACATTTTTGAACGATTGGTCGCGATCTTTGGGTCGCCGTACAAAGTAAATGAGCCATTTGGCTGAACTTTGGTAAGTACAGCTTGAGTGGTACCTTCATGTTGGTCTAGAGGAATATTAAAATTAATTAAATAGGTAAGGAAAATAAATTGAATACACTTATATGTGCATTTACATACTCAGAGCGTCTTTGTGATGAACAAATGTGAGAGTTTGTGGTTGTAAAGCATTGGGTAACGAAGACGAGTTTCTGGTCTGAGGAACTATATGAATGGTGCTTCCCATCATTGGTGATGTACTCACCACTTGCAACTGATGGGGAGTGGTTTCAGAGACGAGCGGCAAGGTGGGCGGAGAGGAACTTGACAGTGAAGAAGTACTACTGTATAGAGCACTGAATTTGCTGTCATCCGCATCACTAGTAACCATACTAGCATCTCTTTCCGTTTCTAAGTCTTCATTTATACTTGTGGCAACTAAATGAAAACAATAATTAGTCAAAATTACAAGAACAAAGCAAACCAATAATAATTGAATCATTACTTGTAGTTTTTCTAGTAACTACATCAGGCGGTAAGTCTGGCAACAGCTTGCTGAAATCTATGTGATCCCATTTGGCAGCCAACTCCTTTTTGAGAGAAGCGTGCCTTTGTTGAGCCCATATTTTTTCTCTGGCCAGTCTTTCCATCTCGTGTTCCAGCTCTCTTTCTCTTCGTCTCAACACCTTAAAAGCAAAACATCTACAAGTTAGTAAAAAACATTGGACAAGTTATTTGTCTATTAACCATAATGAATATGGACCTTCCAACGATCATAATAACGTATCATTAAACCAAAAATGAATACAAAAACAAGAAGAATAATGGTTGACTAATTATTTAAGAGAAGTAATTTATTCCATAACATTTGGGGTATTTGTCAAAATTCTTATAGACCCCTCAATAGTAGATACTAACAAAACAAAATATTTAGAGCTGCTTTAGTCAAAGTTTTGGGAAAATTGATATTCTATTTTATTTGTTCAATTAGATATTATGTGGTTTGTTGTAGCCAGTTTTATTTTCCTATTTTTATGGCTAGATGGTAACTTTTTAACTGTTGGACAGATTTCTTCATGCGTAGCTAGTCTATAAATTGTACACAAAATGTACATTATTATGGTAAAAGTTAAGTTCAGAAACTAGAAAAACGCCAAAAAATGTACATATTTGTTAACTTAAAAATGCTACAAATTTTTGGAAAATTTTAGAACGATTTCCATTATATGGATTTAGTTAATCTATATAGATTGTACTCAATTTAAAGGAAATATAATACATACATTACAGAAGTTTAAAAAATTAATAGGGCTCTAAAAAACATTAAAAATAAAGTGTTTGGAGAACTTCAGATTACTGTAAAATATTATCACTAAAAAAATAAAAGCAAACGGTAAACAAAAATGAGCGTCTTAGAAAAATCGACTTTTATTAATTTTCCTATAAAAATAAAAAAATATTACGATGTATGTTTTGGCACACTTGAAAAACCAACTACACGCAATTCAAAAATTCTTAAAAAACAAATTTTTGACTTGGAGTATTCCAACGCTTTTTTCTTTATGCTCGGCTCATTATATAATTAATACATAGGTAATTGTATTTAATTGTCGATTTCCATAACTTTTGTGTTTTATAAATAATTTTATCGAGAGACTTTTATGTCTAGACCTTTGAAAAAAGGAAGGGGCAACGGCTGGGAGGGGAATGTATACAAGATACCGCGCGCAAAGCCATGTACGAAAAATAAATTGCAAATTTTACCTTCGACCGTCATAGTGTAATAATAAAACGAGCCTTTCCACGCGGGTTTTTGACGACGATTATTATCGATGATTAGGTGCGGCATGCGTGCATTGCAAAATAGTCTGTAGGTCACGGCTATAGTCGGCATAATATAACAAACGCCGCCAACCGTCGACGAATGACATTGTCAATAATTGCGGTAGAAGAAAAAAATCGTCATCGCGCCAGAAAGAATCCACGTGGGCGACAATTTAAAATTAAAGAATCCAAATGTTACAATAAATTGTATACACCAATGCACGAAATAGTCGAGGTTGGTACGCCACGTGTAAGCGCCAACGTCGCAACAGCAGCAGCAGCAGACATGTCGACGCCAAACGAACTGCCGAATTCGAAACGCCAACATAATTTTTTTTGTGAAACATAGTAAAACGCAAGATTCGATCTCGGCCAACAAACGCCTAACCTCGTGTTCAAATAAAAAATTTAAAAAACATAAAACCCAGTATTTGCCCATTGTTTCATCTCAGCCAAAGCAGATTGCAAAGAGATATATATTAATAAAAGCCGTGAAAAACTAGGTAGGTACATAATATAGCATATAGAAAAGTATTTCGACGTGGATATGTCTTACCGCTGGGGTCGTCCTAAAAACTATGTCCGAAACGTAACGCGATGTGTCACACTCGTCGGGGCGGTGCTGGATGGACGGTGGAGGTGAAGAGGGAGGCGGCGGCGGTGGTTTTTTTGCATACAGGTGTGCGTGCGTGCATTTTACTTTTGTCGCGTACGTGTATATAGATATAATATATATTAAATAATAATATATTATTGATATACGACATGTGTGAGGGTCGTTCAACCGCCGCACAGTGGGTTGAAATGAAAATTACCTCGCATAAATTAATACATTTTAACCATTTTTTTAAAATTTTATGCATCGATTTATAAGTTTTAAAGACCGTTGCACTTAAACTTAAATTCTGTAAAAAAAATTAGGAATATTAAAGGGAGAAATACATTTTAAAACTTGAATTTACATTTTATTATTCGAATTCATATTTACTTTGAGTTAAACAAAAATGGTTAAAATGTAATTAATTTATGGTATTAATTTATGCGAGCTAATTTTCATTTCAGCTTACTGTGTGGTTATTTTTTTGCCCAAAAACAATATACGAGAATTCGACAACTGCTCGAATGACAGTGTTGGGCAAATTTTAGTGAAATAAACAAACGTATTGATTCGTTAATTAATTCTCTAATCTAACATTACCTGTTAGAATACGGTTTAATATTATTAACGAAGGTAATAGGTAATATAAAAAATAACTGCATTTATTTCGAACAAAGAATAAAATCGTTTACTTTAAAAAATTAAAAAAAAACCAAATATAATTTTATTCGAATAATTTCAGTAATGAATAGCTGATTTTACACGGAAAAGTGATTGATAAGTGCGACTTTCCGGTTTTTTAATGAAAATTCAATTCTATGTACCGTTTAGGTTTTTTTGCAATTTGAAAAAAATTGTTTGAAACTTTATAAAGTATTTTTTGTCTAATGTTACCAATATTTTATCCCTGAAAACGACTACGTGCAAATCCCTCATGTGTGGTAAGCCAACAAAATATATTAATTACAAACAAATATTCACATTAATATTTGTTTTTGAAATAAATTTACACGTTTTGTTCTTATGTTTCATCAATATACAATTTATTTATAAAAAGTGTAAGTCTGGGATTTCGCATTTTCAAAATGGTCAAAAACATGATTTTTATAAAGTAGACATGAACCACCAACGGCGTAGAAATAGGTAATAAGTATTATCAGCTATTTTCATCAAAAAATTGTATTACTTTTCACGATTGTTCGTAAACAATTGGGCGGTCCTGTTTACGCAATTTTTGGCTCCTTGTAAAAACAAACATCCTGTTCTAATACAACAGTACATGATTTAAAACTGGCAACGGATTATGATTAATGGCGTTTACGGTTTAACGAATGACAATGGAGCGATGTAACGAGTGTTATTGATTGGCCGCGCATCAACGTCTAGGGCAAAGATATTTTTATAAGCCGCTTACGAGTAATAACAAAAAGGAGGAAGGTGTACTTTCCTCTGGCACGTCTAGTGTGCTGTGTAGAGAATATATTATTTGCATGATACAGTAAACGTAAATCGTTTTAACAGTTTTACATCACTACAGAAGTGAACACCGAAAGTCCATAGATGTAAAAAAAAAAAAAAAACGGTAACCACGGCATTGAGCTAGCAACATTTTTTTTCGGCAGCGACGGGAGAAGTTGACCTCAGGTGTTAAGCGTATTCAAACAGCATTTCAGGTGGCGGTATACACACATATACACCAACCAAGTACCTCTACTATACAGTCACACGCATTCAAGGGCGTATTGCGATAAGGTCATGCGCATTTCACGAAAAGTAAAATATGTCTACATATTCGGTTCACAAGTGCAACGGCGGCGCTTTGCTCGACCGCCGTAGATTAATCGAATACACAAGTGGTAGACTCATCTCGAATAAAAATACAAATATGCACTATACAATTTTAAGCGCGATCGGAGAGACGAATAGAGATAATTCAAAATATAAATAAATAAATATATATATATATATATATATATGTGTGTGTGTGTGTGTATGTGTGTGTGTGTATTAAAAAAATATGCATAGCATTATTGTTAATAAAGCAAACGTGCGCTTTTTTATTCCACTTTTGTTTTTGTTTTCGAGCAACAGTAGGCTGTAGCAACCTATACCTACCGTTGAATTATTGCGAGTTGGGCCAACACGCGAAAAACAACCGAGGCCGTTGGCGCGCGCGTCTGTGCTTGTTCAGCGATTGACCTCCCACAAACGAACAAACAATACATATTATATGTATATATAATACATAAATGTGTGCCAATCTACTAAATACAAGACCGCGAACAGGGCACGGAGGAAGCGTGCATATTTTACAACAACGACGACGGGTGAAAAAAATATGTTTTCTTTTTTTTTTTACTTATACTACTATAAAAAAAAAAAAAAACAGAAAATAATCGGTCGTGTTACCCGGGTCTTACCTGAATATACCGGATGGCGCTTCTGAGTATACTCAGGTTCGACGTCTTTTTCTCGTCCTGAGATGCCGGTACTTGTTTTTTGAGCAGCTCGAAGCATTCTTTCAAATGCGCTCTTCGGTTTTTCTCCAATTTGTTGTGCACCTCCCTTGTACCGGATCTAAAAGACGAGATAAACACACGTTGGATCAAGGACATAATGGGCGCCGGCAACAAACAAATATTATTTTCTAATCGGTTAAAATGTTATAAATGGTGGTAATAACAGCTGGCATTTCTAACGGGCAAAATCGTTTCATATCATTCCGTGAAAAACGCAACAATTTTCTAATGAAAATATTAGAAATACCACCCCCCCCCCCCCCGGAGATGACACCGTTATATGTTGGAAATGTTTCGCGTTAGAACGTGGACAGCCATCTACAGTGTGCAAATGATGTATGCGCTTACCCTGTCCGTCGTTTGAGTTCTTGAGCCAACGACAACGCGCCATTGTCGTCAGAGTTGGAGACGGCGTTGGCTACAACGGTATTAGGTGTAACGACGACGTTTGTTGTAGCGACGACAGACTTGTAAGACGGGTGATGGTGGTGCTGTTGTAATAGGACGGTATTAGCTTGCTGCTGTTGTGGTTGTCTTTGAGGTTGTTGCAGCTGCTGCTGCTGTTGCTGTTGTTGTTGTTGTTGTTGTTGCTGCTGCTGTTGTTGTTGTTTCTGCTGCTGCTGCTGCTGAGGGGGTGTAGACGGTGGTTCGATGTGATTCAACGAAGCCGGAAGATCGGAACTGGGTAGTGTCACAGAGGAGGGATGATAACCGATATCTTTGTCGTTGGACAAAGGCTCTTCTGTAAAAAGAAAAACAAATGGTTAATCTTGCGAAACAATAATATTATATCATCGAAACGAATAATTAAATAAATACAATAATATTATTAGGTGGTTCGTTGGCGTTATGTAATTCGGACGGTGTGAGTGTAGGTATACCTAAAAAATAGTGTCTGATCCATTTCTTTTTCGGCGGCGGATTCACCCATGCGTCCACGTTCAAAATTAACACGCCCATCGCTGGTGGTTTACGTAAGAGACAATTACGATGATGTTGAGTAAGATACGGACCGAACGCCGACGGTTTTACATGGCGTTATCGTAAGATGATACGCGAACAGACGACGATGTATTAAACGAAAAGCAATGTATAATATATGAAAACAGGTGTAAATATATTATAATAATTACAACTAGGTGGTGCACTGTATGGCACTGTGCGGGGCACGCGGCGTTACAACCGAACCGATTTGAAAAACAACAATGTACGGGTGAATGACGCGCTTTGGTTGCGGCGACGGATGCCGAAACGGTTTTGAGAGGATCGCGACTGACTGGCTCGGTATACCGGGTACGTCGAAACGCTGTGACGTCACGCCAACATCATCTCTCCTACCGCCACGCGCCGGCCCACAGACGAAGAGCGTGTTCGCCGCGCGAACCCTGCACTCATCTATGCACGTTATATTAATATTATTATTATTAGTATTATATGCTAAATTTTTTTTTTTTTTTTTATTACACAAACATTACAGATACATTTATAATATTTAATAATACTAAAGCACACACACGGTGCGAGTGTGTTATGTACACAAAAATATTCGACTACAATATAGGACTTGTTCACGTGCGCGGCAACGGATGGCTCTCGAATTAGTTGTATAATTGTATTATATTTTTATTTTTTTCGTTACCTATAGTCCCGTTTTATACGTGTCATACGTGTTTTACATAATATTATGTATTATTATTATTATTATGATTTTTACCATTTAGTACGCATTATTATAAACACTACATATTACGGTAATTATCTAGACACAACCTGCGACGAAAAATGAACGATATAATATTATATTATGCCTATGACATTTGTATACACACGTGGTTGTTGAAACGATGATGAAAATATAATAATAAATTATTGTAATAACTTTATTTGCACAATCATCGAATATATACGGAGGAAGGCACACAAAAACAAAACTACACCCAAACGTACGTCTACCCAGCTATGACGTCCGGGCGAAACAAGTTGATAAAAAAATAATAATAATAATAACAGTTATATATATTATTATTTATTATCAAAACAATAATAACGTTGCCGTAGAATAGCACGTGTAAATTCCGAACGCGTGGACAACGCAATCGCATCACGGACAATACAACCATTGAGAACTGTGGTGCTTAAAAAAATACATACCATTCTCAAGTACACTCTAGTTCACTTTGCCGGTAACTGCAGCCCCTAATCACTAATGGTTTCACCTGTGGCTCAAACAGAACAGTGTGAATATCTCACCCCTCCCCTAAAATGATTCTCTAAGACTTTCATTTTTTACTAAATAAATTGTTTTTTAACCGCTTGACCGGTTTATAATACAAATGTACAGTTTTGAGAGTTAAGTGATCGAAAACCATATTCGAAAAAATTCATCCCTTACCTTATTTCGACCAAACAATTTAACTATTATTCACGAACACTATTTTTTTCGTTATTTATTACCTTTCTATTATTTGTTTGAATATCTAATTATTTTAGTTTGAATAACTATTATTTCTATCACTATAGTAATAAATGTGTTGAAATATTCAACAGAACTACATGCTCCTTTAAGTCATAACTCATTTTTAGTTAAAATTTGATTGTTTTTACTTAACAAGTCGTTATAATTATTAATTACATTTAAAATCATTTTCATATTCAGAAACAAATTCAAATTGACAAACTAGATAATATGTTTCCTATAAATAATAAATAAACAGATTATCTATATTATTCGAAAAATAATTTAATTTTTTTTTATCGAAATTGGGTTCAATACACTGCCCTCATCCCACAAATGTTGACAAAAAAAACTTTAGCTTTGCCTCCTAATCCAAAGAGGTTCTTTTGTTTTAAACCCAGAAAACGTTTATTAGCAAATTTAACCAAACATATGGGTTTATACACCCCAAGAACCCGGGTTTTTCGACACTGACATTGTTCATAGATTGTAGTGTACAAGATCTAGTGATTATTAAAACAGGGTATAAATTTTTAATTTTTAATAGAGAAACCCAATCTAAAAATAATTATTTAGTCATATTGAATGCACACATTTTTTAAGGCAACATTTTAAAATGCAAACCCACTCGAGGAAATCCGATAACAGTCGTATTGATCTAACGAGTTATTCATCTTTTACATACATAACTTTTTTTTACAAAAATTTCGCAAAAATTATAATACAGTTTACCAAGTTTCCAAGTATAGATTTGCAGGCTCGTTCGAGCACACGTCCTCGAATTATACCTACGCCAGTGGTCACCATTAATGGTCAAATTACTGAGTAAGTTATGTCATATTACTCTTATGAACCCGGTAACAACGACATGGAGAAACAAATAACAAGCTAAAGGTCTTCGCCGATAAATCCTACATACCGTCGTCGACTAGTTAGTATAAGGTCAATTTCCGTACTATACACACGAGAGCTACATATCAGAAGAAAACGGCCAATAGGTTATATAAAGAAGAGGTATAACAAATAAAGGAACATCCAGAATTTTGATATTATTATTTAATGAGTAACATTTATCGATAATTTTAAATCTGACTATCCTGGACGACATGTACCGATCTACGCGATCTTGGTTAAAATCGGATTCCGTTTTGCCAGTATAATAAAATTATAAGTTATAACTTGGAACATTCTGGTTGTTCCACTGTAAAACCGAAATCAATTGTTACGTAGAACAATCATTTTTGATTTTGGTCAAAGAACACTATCAATGACTTATAAAATATATTTATAAATGAGCCGACGTCTTTCATTTGTGAGCGTTTTGAAAGTAACAAAGCAAATGAAGAATTTAAAACGTTGATGTGTTCAAAATGATCGGTCAAACGACGAATACTGTACAATTTGTGTAGTTTGCAAGACGATTTTACAAAAGATGGACCACATTTGATAAAATTTAATCCATACACGGTATGATCGTCGTCCATAATAATTTAGTTATAGATTTTATTCCATTTACGATGTAGTTCGCTTACCTACATGTGGTATTTGTGTATTTAATTTGGCTTTACATAATATATTGACCAACTTATGGATGGTATATTATACATAAACGCTACCTCAATTCGACGATATTTTATTTGCCTTCTTCGTTTTTAAACCAACAAACAACAAGACAAGCGTTACATTTTTTTAACTTCTGGTTCATCATTTATCATCGTCGTTGTCATCATCATCAACAAAGGTTGATCTTTCTTTCGCTGTTGAATCAATAACAATAATTATTGTTGAAATTTCGTCTTTCATGAATATAACATCAGCAACGCGGGTATAGGTGTATGAATGTTTTAAAATATTAGATCAGCTAACATAATACAGACGAGTGTCAACAACCTTATGCGGCAGGTATGCAATTACAATAAACAAGAGTCACTTGTAGTTAGGTACGCGAGAAAAACAAAAATTTCAAATGCAAAAAAAAAAAAATCATATACTTATGGCAAAAAAACCACACGTGTTCGAGGCGCGTTCACTTATCGCATAATATTATGATTTCGCGCTTCTATTAATTATGCACATCAATAAAGATGTAGCGCACTACAATTATTATTATTATTTATTCTGTAATACGTGTTACACAACACAACTGACTCTGCCTTCGTATGGAATGTATGTTCTTATTTTATTATATTGCAGTACGAGAAAAAATATGCACACAATAAATTATACACCATTATAACTGCTGAACAAAATGAATAGTGAAAATACCAAACATAAAATAATCGGCGATGTAGTAGTTCAACAATTTGAGCAATGCCAATAGTTAAAAATAGTAAACATTACATTGTACAATTTCTATCCATACGCAATTTACAAATGAGAATTTTTTTTTTTCAATAGGTAAAACCAAAATAAAACTTCAAAAGTCCATTAGCTAGCTTTGATTTAGGTTTAGTCATTTTCCACTTTACTATAAATTGATTAAACCAACCAGGGAAGCAGGCGTGTCAAAATAGATACATAAAGAATGTAAATTGATTTTTTACCACCCTTTGGAGATTGCTTGGTGTTTGTAGTAGCTAACGTGTGCAATTAACTTTTTTTCATATTAACGGTGAGCTGAAAAAAAATAGAGCTACACAAATGGTAAATATATAATTTCTGTTATGGCGGAGCTGCACGAAAAACAAATGTGTTTGGCACATGTTTTGACGGAAATTTGGTGGCGTAAACAAATAATTTCATGATTGCGCCCGCAAGTTTTCGATAAATATACTTCGATTAATGACTAATGCTCAACACAATCACACTGATAAGAAAATGGATAATAATACAAAATTCGAGCGAAAATGTTAGCATTAGTTCGATCATATTATTAGCATTAACGCAATTATAATTTTAGTGCTAGCTAGTTTACACAATTAAGATTTAGCTGAAAAATGTATGGTGTTTCGTGAAATTGCCTATCCATAATCCCTTAAGTATAAGGGGTGTATTCGGCCTCTAAAAAACAGCTACCAACGACACTATTACTGTTTGGTGTACGGTCCAAGTCAATTTCTGTATGATGGATTTGCCAAATTCCTCAACAACGACGTTTCGTATAAAAACTCGGACGAATGTCAAATGGAAGAGGAGATAGAGCGCTGTAGGGTTGTAGAGAACAAAAAAATTATTTTGGAAGCCTGCCCCGTCCCGGTGATCTTACATGCCAAAATATTCTCTTGGATTATTTTTGTTGTAATCGAGTTAATAGACTAACCGCGCGTGCTACGGCCAACAAAATAGTG